TCAAAAATATGTTGGATCATTTAATGTAGGTATCAGATTTTTATGTTGGTGTTCATTCTATTGTAATACTTGACATTTTTATACAATTAACGCACATGTGTGCATTATGTATAAATATATACAAAGCAATTAGTAACACCATTTAACATGTTTTGTAGTCTTGAATGACCAAAAAAAAGGAAACTAACGAAAGTTTGTATTTGGATCTCAGGTTGCATGAATGTGATATTTATTTTCTTTACTTCTTCAATGGTTTAACCAAGGAAATATTTTTTGACTATTGTGAAAGAAACTGAGACAAGATATCTCCACTTTTCTTGAAGTAGGCCAAGTGAAAAAGAAAAAAAAATGTTGATATGCCTGTACCTCCATCTGACCTTAAAAAAAGATTTCCGATTGATTGTAAAGCAGATATCACTTATATGATATCTAGTTTTGTTACTTAACCCACTCATTCTGGGTTGAGATACTATGATGTCCTATCACTGCATGGTAGACTATCTCTCATACCGGGATCATGTCTTTGTGTTGTGTACTGTTGAGTCTTTTCTAAGTTATGGACATTAAACAGATTTGTACTTTTTTAGCCTAGGTTGCATTTATTGAGGAGAAATATCCCTTCAAAAGTAGGGTTAAAGCCTCATTATTAAAAAAACGTTGCAGTTAAAAGCATAGAAAGCTGGGTAATTTTGTTTCCTGTTTCTGATTTTGCGTTTGAGTAGCTGACTCCACATTACCCTTATGCATTATTCATTATGACGCTGATGGGCTCCCTTTGTCTTTGGGTTAAAAGCAGGAGACCGAAAATGCTACTTTACTTAGCTAAATTTAGGTATTCATGTATCTATTATTTTGGAGAAGTAAACATATTAGACTGAGATAACAGCTGATAAGAAGAAAGACAGAAACGGAAATACAGTCTATTTCTTTTTACCAATTTTTTTTGTGTGTGTGATTCCTGTGATGTATGCTGAAGTAATTCAGCTTTGGACTTTGTTTAAGGCTGGCTAAAGCTTTACTTTTTTACATGTATTTTTCTGTAATTACATGGCTTTATGGTTCTTGATGTCTTTGCTTTTCAAAAATCAGTTCATTAAACTTGAAAGTAAGGAACACTTTATACCAATTCCTTTCCATTTATACTGTTCTGTAATGTTTCAGATATCCCACAGGATTTTGGAACTGGTCTCACTTAACAAAATTAGATTTTCTTAACTGTCACCTAGTTGTGTGCTGAAGAATTGAGATGAAGCTGATAAAACTCTTTTTTTTGTTGTTGCCTTACTTAATTCTCTAATTCTTTATTTTTCTCAAGGTAAAGGGTAAGTTGGATAACCCAAAATAGCTGTACATAATCATTGTTTTAGTTACAGAATGGGATATTACTCTTTATTTTGACAAGTTAATTTTTTATCTAAATGAAAAAAATGATCGAGCACTAATTTGTATTTACTTCTTTATTTAATCAAATATTGGAATTAGGAGTTTTACTTTGATGTTTTGAGAGGAAGCAAAAAAGGTGCTGTTCTACAAAGGTGTTTTCTTCAAACACTTGCTGTAGTATATCTTATTAAGAATGAACTTTATTTATGTGGTTTGTAAAGGTGATTTTGTAAATAAAGTAATAAAAAAATAAATGATCATATTTTTCTATCACACATGCGTGCGCGCGTACACACACACACACACACACACACACACAGACACACACACAGACACACACACAGACACACACACACACACAAATACACACACAAATACACACACACATACACACACAAATACACACACAAATACACACACAAATACACACACAAACACAAACACACATGCACACACACACTTGCCCCCTTTAAATTTTTAAACTAGCTAGCATCACAGTTTCCTTGCTTAGATATACTGACATACTGAGATGAAATGTTTAACTTTATATAAACTTCTGCTACATGGCACCCAATTTGGCAAGTCTTACTTTCCTGAGGCCCAAATATAATCAAAATCAGCATTAAATGCATATAATAATACATCTTACCTCGCTTACCCACATCTTAAAATTGTATGTATATACTGAAAAAGAAAGAAAGATCTAGGAAATTAGTATAATATGAAAAGCTGGTTAACTAGTAAAATGAAAACCTGTTTTCTATATTCAAACTATCATACTAGATAAATATTTAATAAAACATTGATATGATTCATATTTCTGCTAATTAAAACAATTTGTTAATTAGTTCATTTCTGTTTCCTTTTTTGTACTTGTTTTAAAAGTCTTACTTGAACATCTATATGTAAAATAAATAAATAAAACCAGTGGATAATATAAAACTTCAGCATCAGTGCAAACATGGAAATATTAACTTTTAGGATGAGTGACCGACAAGGTATACAACAAAGATACACCTACAATCATTGCAGAACAGATTTTTCTGCAATTTTAGTCAGATATCTATACATAAATAGTGTGAACACATACATAATGCCAAGAATATCATTTATATTGCTTCTCAATGAAAGGTTCTTTATTCACTGTGAATAACTTCATATAATTGCAAACAATAATGTCATATAGAAGGAAACAGACCTACAGCAAGGAACTGAAAATGAATGAATGAGATCGTCAATAGTTCTTCATCAGAGAAATATACAAAAAACGTTCCTTTTGGTTGTTTGTCTGATGAGGAATGCTTGGCAAGTTTGATGAGTTAATTTCAGTTCATACTGAGGCAGTTTTTTTCCTTTTATCTTTATGTACATGTTATGTACAGTATAGGCATATGTATTACACAGGAAATTTATTGAAGAAGTAAGTGCCTGTGTGCCATATTTATATGCATGTGCTGTGGTGGAATGGTTAAAAATGTTATCACTTTGCTCTAACTCTTTTGGCTTACTGTAGGAATCAAAAAGAGGTTTAATAATATTAAACTCTTGATCACAAGGTTAAATACAATCTTCAGTGGGACACATCCATGTCTTATTGTTATTGAGGATTATAGCTTCTACAAAGTGATTCTGGTATGCAGAGTCTGAAATTTCTGCTTTATTTATTTCCTAATAGCTTTTTTCAAAATAATGAAGATATAACAAAAGAAAGAAATAAAGAAAGTAAGTAATCACAGCTAATGCCACATGTACAATATGTATGGACTCCTGGCATAAATATTAATTGTAGTCAAAGCTTCCAACACAGCTTTTTTTTCTTTACCTTTTTAAAAATAAAAATGACAATATTCTACAGTGTTATAGGTAATGGACATAAACAGAAATAAAAGATAAAAATGAAATAAGAAGGGTGAAAGGAAAAAAAAAATGTTTCTGAATTTAAAATAAATATGTTTATTTTGCATATAATGCTTATGTCTTTGGCAATGTGCCTAATAGGTTAGACATGGTTGTAAAACAGAAAAAAGGAGTGAAAGGGAAGAAAAATAAGAAAATTACATAACTTATAATCGTAATCCAGTAACCAACCTACTGCCAGCTCATTTATAAAAGTTTTCATATATTGATTTCCAACCAACATGTACATTTATAGTATGACAAATTTTCTTAAAATATATGAATAAATAATTTGTGCAAATAGTACTATCAGTATTACAAGATAAATAAAATAAAATACTTCATTTATATCAAAATCCATGCTAAAATTTTGACATTCAGTCCTGGGAACTGTACACCTAATGATAATCAATGTTAAAATATATAATTATGTATATTTTAAAGGCAATTTTACAAGGTCTCTTACCTGTAATTTTTAGAGGAACAAGCTGAGAAAATAAGGGAACAATAGCAAACAGAAAAAAGAGAAGGAAGAGAAAGAAAGAAAAAAAAAGGAAAAGTTTACAAAATAAAATCCGTATCTCCATTTGTATCTATTTGTACTCTAGGATTTTTATTACCAAAAGATTAAGTTCACAGCCTCAGCTTTTAGTTCACATTCTCTCACAGTGCACACAGAACCTCAATTACAATAGTACAGAACTTAGGATCAAATTGAAAATTAAATTACTGCATTACTGCAAAATCTGACCAATCACTGTTATTTCAATCATCACTCAGTTCTTCTTCATCACTAAAGTAGGAAGACTGCTTTATCTTTGCTCGATGGACCCCTGGCTCGCACTTGGAATATTCTCCTGCTGCAAGTCTACTTTGGAATTCCTCTGCTTCTCTTAGTTCTTGCTGTAAATGGAAGAAGTACCATGAGTCATTGATATATCTAATGAACAGAATATTTTCCCAACTAAATGTTTGTCTTTGGAAAATTACTGCATTTGCTGCCAACCTCATATTGTCTAACCTTAAAAAGGCTAAAGTATAACATGTAATATGTCTGCAATTAAAGGCTATTTGTTTCATATTCAACATGGTAAAAACCAGTATTCATATAAATCTATATCAATGTCTGCCTAAAGGTCCTCTCACTGATATTGTATTCCTCTACTTCATAGGCTTCATAATCTATACTAACAAATAAAATTATCTAATAAATTTCTCTCCCATAACCCTTCAATATAAACAGAACGATCAAAGAAAGCTCACTTTCAAGCTAGAATTTAAAAGAACCTCTGATGAAAAGCGGAACATGAAATACATATGACTGGCATTCAACAAAAAAACTAAAAGGCTAATATACATAGAATAGAATTTTTTTATGTATCTGGTGCAACCAGTATGTCTAGAACATTTCTATAAGACCTGAAAATTCGTACTTGATATCTGATTGCTTCACTGAGTGAGTCTTCTTCAAACTTTGGTTCTTCATCCTCGTCCTCTTCTGCATCTTCATCCTCATACTTAGCATTCTTGAGTTTGGTCTCATCCTGGAAATCACCTCTTCGCTTCTTTGGTTTCTTCTTAGGAGGTTCTCTATCTCCCAGCAGATTTTTAGGGCAAGAATAACTCAAATGACCAAAATCTCCACATTCATAACATCTGTATGTGGATTAAAGAACAATTAATGATGAGTTCGCTTGAAAACAGATAGTTTGAATACAACA